AACAAATGAGAAGGAACGGAAAGCGAGACAGACATACAGACAGACAGACAGTCTACTACTTCACTATAACAACCAACCAAATGCAACAATAAAACTAAAAAAACACACAACAATAACACAACCAAAACGCAATAAAAACACATTAAAACACAACAAACACCAACCAACCAAAATATACAACAAAACAGCAACAAATGACTAAATCAGCAACATTCGACAACACACTCGGCGGAGACAAAAGAAAACACAAAAAAGACTGGCAGAGGTCAGACCAATGTGCAAATGGGATTTCTCTGTTGTGTGTGTGTGTGTGTGTGTGTGTGTGTGTGTGTGTGTGTGTGTGTGTGTGTGTGTGTGTGTGTGTGTGTGTGTGTGTGTGTGTGTGTGTGTGTGTGTGTGTGTGTGTGTGTGTGTGTGTGTGTGTGTGTGTGTGTGTGTGTGTGTGTGTGTGTGTGTGTGTGTGTGTGTGTGTGTGTGTGTGTGTGTGTGTGTGTGTGTGTGTGTGTGTGTGTGTGTGTGTGTGTGTGTGTGTGTGTGTGTGTGTGTGTGTGTGTGTGTGTGTGTGTGTGTGTAAGGGATAGTGTGTGTGTATGTGTCTGTGTGCTTGGGGGACAGTGTGTGTGTGTATGGGCAGTGAATATGTGTGTGTGTGTGTGTGTGTGTGTGTGTGTGTGTGTGTGTGGAAAGAGTGACCCAGCAAATCCTTCCTGTAGAGTCCTCTCTCTCACCTCCTCCTGACCCACCTCACTCCCTGACCTCGTGCTCACCTGTTAATGGGTTAATGCACAGGTGGCGCCTCCTCGTCCCAGGTGTACAGAGTTGCTGAACAAACACATATTTTTTTTATTTCAATATATATATAATGATGTTGACTATTTTCACTGGAGGTGTGTGTGTGTGTGTGTGTGTGTGTGTGTGTGTGTGTAATATGTACTCACAAACCCTCTAACATACACCCAATGCAGATTTAACAAGCACTCAGATATTGTGTAACCTGTACTCTTACCCCACCTAACATGTACTCTTCCTACCTGAACAGATTATTGTTACGTGTACTAATTATATAAATCATGTACTCTTATCTCACCTGCTTAGTCTATGTAATATGTGTGTATGGAACATGTACTAATCCCTGGTAACACGTACTCTTTCCACCTGTACAGAGCCAGTCCACAACGGTCCGTCTCTCTCGCTGCTTCAGGTGAGCAGGACGCACATGGGGGCTTACCTGTGTATCGCCTCCAATGGTGTTCCTCCTTCAGTGAGCAAGAGGATCACCCTCGACGTGGAGTGTGAGTACCTGTGTGTGTGTGTGTGTGTGTGTGTGTGTGTGTGTGTGTGTGTGTGTGTAGACTTTCATTTGTGTGCACTTCTCATATCTTAGAGAGAGGGAGAGAAGGAGAAGACAACGAGAAATAAAAAGGAGAGAGAAATAAAAATAAAAGTAGGGAGAGATAAAATACAAAACCTAAATTAACTACAACAGACACAATATTTTTCCTCCAGATCTTAACAGGAAACTTTACTTCACTCTAACTCAATAGTGTTTACATTTTCTCATGACAAGATGGAGGCCAAGTACACAGGTAAACAAACCACACACACTACACACACCACACACACCACACACACTACACACACACACTACACCTCACCACAACCCTCATGACCATCTTACAGTAACTACAGACATAATACCTGGAGTAGTTAGTGAGGGGATAATTGGTAATTTTTTTTAGTTAAGGTTGTACGTTTGTTTGTGAGTGCCACTTCATCTTCAAGGGGCTGCTCCACTATTATTACATGTTGAGGATTAGTTTTTGTGATGTTTTTTGTGATCTGTGTGTGTGTGTGTGTGTGTGTGTGTGTGTGTGTGTGTGTGTGTGTGTGTGTGTGTGTGTGTGTGTGTGGACTATACGGTATAGTCTACATGTAATCCAATATTAGAACTAATATACTAAACTTCATTACATAAGTTTTTCTTCAATTTATTCCATTTACGTCAATTATCAGTAATATTCCTCTCATTTTAGAGACAATCTGAAAATTTATCAGAATATTTAAAGTTCTTTTTTCTTATAATATAACATCGATTAAATGGTAATTATATCTCATTCTTTCTCTCACTTTCTCTCTATCTCTCACTCGCTCTCTCTCTCTCTCTCTCCCTCACAGTCCCCCCACAGATCCACGTCCCCAACCAGCTCGTCGGGGTACCCACTGGGGACAACGTTACTATAGAGTGTTTCGTCGAGGCCTTCCCCAAGGTGAGTGTCCCTCTCTGCTCCCCTACCACCCATCACCACCATTACCATCACCCATTAACACCCCCACCACCATCACTCACTGACATACCCACAACCATCAGCACCATCTACCCCTACTACCCACCATTAACGACTACCACCACCCACCACCTTCACCCATTATCACCCCCCTCTCCCCCTCACCACCACCACTAAACACCTCCTATCTCTCCCCACCAGGCCATCAGCTACTGGGTGAGGAAGGACATGATGATCCTTAACTCAGAGAAGTATCGCTCCGAGACCTTTGAGACGGTGTACAGGATCCACATGAAGCTCACTGTGTTCAACTTCTCGCGGGACGACAACACCACCTACAAGTGTGTGGCCAAGAACTCCCTGGGCGAGACGGAGGGCGACATCAAGCTCAACGGTGAGTCTTTTTTAAGTCGTACTCGAGGGGTTAGTTCTTGAGGAGGTGGTTAAATTGGAGGGGGTAGTTTGATGAGGAGGTAGTTCAATTAGAGGGTAATTTTGTGAGGAGGTGGTTCTTAAGGAATAGATCTTGAGGGTAATTCTTAAGGTAATTCTTGAGGGGTTGTCTTAAGCGGTAGTCTTAAACGGTATATAAACAAAAGAGACGAGAAAAACATACACATCGTACGCCCGCCAGGTCACCCGAGGGAGGTAAGGGAAGCGAGTGACACCAATGAACTGCCAGTCCACCTAACTCAACTTATCGTACTGCAGAGACCAAATTGCAAACAAGGAACTGCAATTGAAAGATGCAACAACGTGACCAGTAAATAGATATGAATTTTTTTCATTCTTTATTCATCATCAAACGTTAGACATCTCAAGTATTTAACAATATAAAAAGATTAATTAATTTTGTTGTTGTAGTTAATTAAATGTTTGAAGGGGAATTTACAGGTGAAAGAACATTATCAGGAGAAAAAAATATCAACATTGCTTTAATAATTTACATTAATGAGAAACAAGACGAATTCCTTACATTGTATAGATGAGTCAAATGAATTCATCTCTGGTTGCTGTGCGTGTGTGTGTGTGTGTGTGTAGACGGATGCGACAGGAAGAGGCTACATACACACACACACACACACACACACACACACACATACACACACACATACACGAATCTTCCTCTCTCACCCAATTTACATATAGAGGAGATAGGGAGTGTCTTGATAGGGAGGAGGCAGGGGGGGGGGTCTACATACTGGAGAGGACAGACAGACAGACAGACAGACAGTACAGGAAGTCGGTTGGTCAGTTGTATATAAAATGCAAATCAACATATTTTTTTTAGGTCATCTGAAGACAATGTGATTCTACGCAGTGATGAGACAGCCAGACAGACAGACAGACAGGCAAATAGACAGACAGACATCAGGAAGTACAGACATAGACAGACAGTAGAGACAGACAGAAATACAATAACGACCTACAGATAGACAGACAGTATAAACAGACAGATAGTACGGACGCAGGCAGACAGTATAGACAGACAGATAGTACGGACGCAGGCAGACAGTATAGACAGACAGATAGTACGGACGCAGGCAGACAGTATAGACAGACAGATAGACAATATAGACGCACAGGCCATCAGACACAGACAGACACAAAAACAGTACAGCCGAATATAACATGAAAATAAACACATCTTTCTGGGGTCATCAGGAGAACAGTGTGTGTGTGTGTGTGTGTGTGTGTGTGTGTGTGTGTGTGTGTGTGTGTAGACAGAGGAGACGGTACAAGGCCCTCTATAGACGACAGACAAACAGACAGAAGGACAGTCAGACAGTACAAGAGGCTGGTTGGTCAAGTCGGATGAAATATGAATAAATAAACCAAATCTGGCGACGATCCACCAGCTGGGGGAGGAGAGGAGAGAGAGAGAGGAGGAGGAGAGGGGGGGAGGAGGTATAGAGTGAGGTCAGGTGACAGACAGACAGTGGTAGTGGTGGTGGTGGTGGTGGTGGTCGTGGTGTGGCTATGGTGGTGGTGGTGATGGCGGCGGCGGCGTGGTGGTGGTGATGGGAGGCGGCGGCTGGAGGTGGTGATGGCGGCGGCGGCTGTGGAGGTGGTGATGGCGGCGGCGGCGTGGTTGGTGATGGCGGCGGCGGCTGGTGGTGGTGTTGGCGGCTGTGGTGGTGGTGATGGCGGCTGTGGTGGCGGTGGTGGTGATGGCGGCTGTGGTGGTGGTGATGGCGGCAGCGGCTGTGGTGGTGGTGATGGCGGCAGCGCTGCTGTGGTGGTGGTGGTGTTGGCGGCTGTGGTGGTGGTGATGGCGGCTGTGGTGGTGGTGATGGCGGCTGTGGTGGTGGTAATGGCGGCTGTGGTGGTGGTGGGTGTATAGCGTGACAGTGTGCATATATCACTCTTATGTATTTATGATGGGACTGACGGGACGAGCTTCGCCAGGGGGGGAGGAGGAGGGATACTATGACTCCTTTCTTCTTTCTTCTTGTTCTTCTTCTCTTCTTCGTTCTTGTTCTTGTTCTTGTTCTTGTTCTTGTTCTTCTTGTTCTTCTTCTTCTTCTTCTTCCTCTTCCTTCTTCCTCTTCCTTCTTCTTCTTCTTCTTCTTCTTCTTCTTCATCCTCAAGGAGTTATTCAGGCTATTTCTCATTTTCATCGATTAATCGAATGACTTATTTACATATGGCAGGACTAGCGCCAAGAGAAGACAGACACACTGACAGACAGACAGACAGACAGAAGGACAGAGCAGCCAGATAGACATAGATAGTTAGGCATTATGTATGAAACACACACACACACACACACACACACACACACACACACACACACACACACACACACACACACACACACACACACACACACACACACAACCAAGCATGTTATTGCATATTTATTTAGGTATTTTCTTCAGGTGTCAACATGAAATTTTCAACACCTGTTATTTTACGTCTTGGGGAGGGAGGGGGCGTGAGAGGGTGTGTGGGGGAGGTGGGGGAGAGCGGAGAGAGGGGGTGTGTGGGGGTAGGAAGGGAATTGGAGTGGGGATGATAGAGTGAAAGAACTTAATTAATAATTTTTTCTTGTGTTACAGAAATCTACATGCCACCCAAGGCTAAGGAGATCCGCAGTGGCAAGTCGAAGAGTGAAGGTATTTGTGTGTGTGTGTGTGTGTGTGTGTGTGTGTGTGTGTGTGTGTGTGTGTGTGTGTGTGTGTGTGTGTGTGATAAAATTTGTGTACTTTTTTCAGCTAGAAGGAGAGAGAGAGAGGTTGAAGTCTCTGAAATAGTCTCAAATTCCCCCCTCTCTCTCTCGTCTCCTTTCTCCTCCTCTCTTCTTCCTTCCTCCTCTCTTCTCTATCCCTCTTCTTCCCTTTCCTCCTTCCTCCTCCATCTTCTCCCTCTCTGTTGTCTCCAGTCTACTTTACTTTCCCTTCACTCTTCTTCATTCCTTCTCTCTCATCTCTTTCATCCTCTTACCCCTCTCCTCCTTCTCCTCTTCTTCCTCATTTTCTCCCTCCCCCATTTCCCCTCTCACTCCCCCCCACCCCACCCCTTCCCTCGCCCCATAAGTGCTGTACGCTAGAAAGTGATACAAGTTTCTAATATTTGGAGACAAACTTTCTTTTCTTGAATGACTTTTTGTTCTTGTGTCGAGAAAATTTTTTTTTTTTAGGTTTTCGATGTTTTGGGGTTTGTTTATTTTTTGTGTTCGTGATTTTTTTCGTATTTTTATTTTTGTTTTATTTTCTGATTTATTTTTTTATGATTATTTTATTCTGTTTATGTTATTTTTGTTTTGTTTTTGCGTTTAATTTCGTGGTTAACAGATGTGTGTGTGTGTGTGTGTGTGCCTCCCCAACACACCTGAACTAATTAATACAGGTATCAGGGTCACTTCAGGTGTATATCAATAACTGAATATATAATCCCTGCAATTAATTATATTTCTCAGTAGAATATTGTAGTTAAATATACATCAATAAGTTAGGATAATTAATTGTATTTCATGGGATGGTACAGTTATTTACAGAATGGGATATTTATTTACATATTCACAATATAATTACCTGAAGTTATCACCTGTTAAGAGATAATTAATTTCAATGTTACGTAATCATTCATTCTTCTTCTTTTTATTTCGTTAATATAATTTGCTTATTAATTAATTTCGGTTGCAATTATTTTTGGGTGGAAATATAATTAATTGGTGGTAATAATTTGTGGTTATTTAATCCCCGCATTGTATACCTCGTGAGTTAGTTTCCTTCATTGATTAATTGTCTGTCTCTCCGTCTGTCTGTCTGTCTGTCTATCTGTTTTTTCCGTCTGTTTCTTCATATCCATCAATCATGACTTTCTTTCTATGTTAAATCAACACTTCTTCTCTCCTCCTCCTCTTCCTCCTTCCACTCTTCTTTTTCGTTTTATTCCATTTCTCCTCTTCTCCTCCTCCCCTCCTCTTCATTTTTTCTTCCTCCTTCTTCTCCTCTTCCTTCTTTTCCTCCTTCCTCTCCTTTTCATTTTTCTCTTCTGCCTCCGTCTCCTCCTCTTCCTCCACCTCCTCCTTCAATACTTATGACAACATAACCGATTTCCTCCACTTCACCTGACCCAGATCGACCCTCCTTAACTCGACTCCCTACCCAACCCCATCAACTTGACCTCCCATAAATCGACCCACTTCCACCTCACCCTCAGTCGACCACCTCAACTCCTCTCTTCAACTCGACCCCTCACTCGACACCCCCATCAACTCGACTCCCCTTCAATTCAACCCTCCAAAACCCCCACCAAACCTTCCCCAAAAATAATAATTAACCTCCGTGACCCCCAATTAACCTCCATGACCCCTTATTATTTACGTCCCTCCATCGTGACCACAGTTGAGTATCTCCCCCTCACAGACCCTGACCTACAAAGCGCCAAGCCCCAGGAATGAAGAGTTCCGCCGCCAAAGAGATACTCAAGGTGCCAGCCAAGGGACGGAAGCTCAACAACTCCCCAAAAAAGTACCCCAGTCAGCCTACCCCACCAACCACGGTGAGACACACATACACACACCTACACACCTTCTGTTTTGGGGGTAGGGGGTGTTACTGGGAGGGGGAGGGGTGTTTACAGGAGGAGGGTGTTACTGGGAAGGAGGGGGTGTTACTGGGAGGATTTACTGGGAGGTGTTTACTGGGAGGAGGGGAGGTGTTCTGGGAGGAGGGTGTTACTGGGAGGAGTGCTACTGGGAGGAGGGGTGTTTACTGGGAGGAGGAGAGGGGTGTTTACTGGGAGGAGGGGTGTTTACTGGGAGGAGGGGGTGTTTGCAGGAGGTGTTACAGGAGGAGTGTTTACTGGGAGGAGGTGTTTACTGGGAGGAGGTGTTTACTGGGAGGAGGGTGTTTGGGAGGTGAGGGTGTTTACTGGGAGGAGGTGTTTACTGGGAGGAGGGGTGTTTACTGAGGAGGGTGTTTACTGGGAGGTGTTTACTGGGAGGGGGTGTTTACTGGGAGGGTGTTACTGGGTGTTTCAGGAGGGGGTGTTTACTGGGAGGAGGGGGTGTTTACAGGAGGAGGGGGTGTTTACTGGGAGGAGGGTGTTTACTGGGAGGAGGTGTTTACTGGGAGGAGGTGTTTACTGGGAGGAGGGGTTTACTGGGAGGGGTGTTTACTGGGAGGGTGTTTACTGGGAGGAGGTGTTTACTGGGAGGAGGGGTGTTTACTGGGAGGAGGGGGTGTGTTACTGGGAGGAGGGGGTGTTTACTGGGAGGAGGGGGTGTTTACTGGGAGGAGGGGGCTACTGGGAGGAGGGGGGTGTTTACTGGGAGGAGGGGGGGTGTTTACTGGGAGGGAGGGGGGGGTGTTTACTGGGAGGAGGGGGGTGTTTACTGAGGAGGGGGGTTTACTGGGAGAGGGTGTTTACTGGGAGGAGGGGGTTTACTGGGAGGAGGGGTGTTTACTGGGAGGAGGGGGTGTTTACTGGGAGGAGGGGGGGTGTTTACTGGGAGGAGGGGTGTGTTTACTGGGAGGAGGGGTGTTTACTGGGAGGAGGGGGTGTTTACTGGGAGGAGGGGGGTGTTTACTGGGAGGAGGTGTTTACTGGGAGGAGGGGGGTGCTTACTGGGAGAGGGTGTTTACTGGGAGGAGGGGGTGTTTACTGGGAGGAGGGTGTTTACTGGGAGGAGGGGGTGTTTACTGGGAGGAGGGGGGTGTTTACTGGGAGGAGGGGGTGTTTACTGGGAGGAGGGGGGTGTTTACTGGGGAGGAGGGGGTGTTTACTGGGAGGAGGGGGTGTTTACTGGGAGGAGGGGGTGTTTACTGGGAGGAGGGGGGTGTTTACTGGGAGGAGGGGGTGTTTACTGGGAGGAGGGGTGTTTACTGGGAGGAGGGGGGGTGTTTACTGGGAGGAGGGGGTGTTTTTTGTGGGAGGGGGAGGTGTTTACTGGGAGGAGGGTGTGTTACTGGGAGGGGGCTGGGGAGGAGGGGGGGGTGTTTACTGGGAGGAGGGGGGGGTGTTTACTGGGAGGAGGGGGTGTTTACTGGGAGGAGGGGGTGTTTACTGGGAGGAGGGGGTGTTGGGAGGAGGGGGGTGTTTACTGGAGGAGGGGTGTTTACTGGGAGGAGGGGGTGTTTACTGGAGGAGGGGGGTGTTTACTGGGAGGAGGGGGGTGTTTACTGGGAGGAGGGGGTTTACTGGGAGGGAGGGGGGTGTTTACTGGGAGGAGGGGGTGTTTACTGGGAGGAGGGGGTGTTTACTGGGAGAGGGTGTTTACTGGAGGAGGGGGGTGTTTACTGGGAGGAGGGGGGTGTTTACTGGGAGGAGGGGGTGTTTACTGGGAGGAGGGGGGTGTTTACTGGGAGGAGGGGGTGTTTTATTGGAGGAGGGGTGTTTACTAAAGAGGAGGGGGTGTTTACTGAGGAGGGTGTTTACTGAGGAGGGGGTGTTTACTGGGAGGAGGGGGTGTGGGGGTGTTTACTGGGGAGGAGGTGTTTACTGGGAGAGGGGGTGTTTACTGGAGGAGGGGGGGGTGCGATTGGGAAGAGGGGGGGTGTTTTACTGGGAGGAGGGGGTGTTTACTGAGGAGGGGGTGTTTACTGGGAGGAGGGTGTTTACTGGGAGGAGGGGGTAAGCTACTGGGAAGAGGGGGGTGTTTATCTGAGGAGGGGGGTGTTTACGAGGGAGGGGGGGTGTTTACTGTGAGGAGGGGGGTGTTTGTTTGTGGAGGTTGGTGAGTGTGTTTACTGGGAGAGGGGTGGTTTACTGGGAGGAGGGGGTGTTTATGGGAGGAGGGGTTTTACGGAGAGGGTGTTTACTGGGAGGAGGGGTGTTTACTGGGAGGAGGGGTTACTGGGAGAGGGGAAGTTACTGAGGAGGGGGTGTTTACTGGGAGGAGGTGTCACTGGGAGGAGGGGGTGTTTACTGGGAGGAGGGGTGTTTACTGGGAGGAGGGGGTGTTTACTGGGAGAGGGGGGTGTTTGAGGAGGGGGTGACTGAGGAGGGGGTGTGTTTGTTTGTGGGAGGTTGAGAGTGTGAAATAATCAGTGGCAGAGTATATTGTGTATCTGGGGTGTGTGTGTATGTGTATGTATTGGTGGGTAGAGGTTGTTTGTGTGTGGGTGTTTGTGTATGGTTGGTGGGGGTGTATGTGTGTTTGTTTATCTTCCTCCATTAGGTGTAAATAAACCCAATATTTTACCTGTATTTCCTGTTATTCCACATTCTACTTATTCCCATCTTTATCATTCAATTTATTATTTACATTATCATCTTCACCTTCGTTATTCCAATTCCCTCTCTATCTCTTATTATTCTTCATCTATTCCTGCTTTTATTTTGCTTCCTAGTTTATCCTTATTTCTCCCTTATTCTTATTTATCATCACACTTATTCTTTCTTTTTGTTTATTATTTTGATTCTATGTCTTTTAACTTAGATGATTATTGTGTATTTAATAAATATAATACTGTAAGTAGTGTAATGGTACGTAGGTGTAGAGTGTATGTAGGTGTATGGTGGTGTATGGTGTGTATGGTAGTGTATGGTGTGTGTATGGGTGTGTATGGTGAGTATGGTGGTGTGTGTATGTGTATGGTGAGTGTATGGTGTGTGTATGGTGTGTGTATGGAGGTATGGAGTGTATGGTGTGTGGTGTATGGTATGTGTATGAGTGTATATGTGAGTGTATGGTGGTGTATGGTGAGTGTATGGTGTGTGTATGGTGGTTTATGGGGTGTATATGATGTATGGTGAATGTATGGTGATGTATGGTGAAGTATGGTGTATGACAGTATACGACAGAACATATACTGACAGCTGACGGGTCCTCCTCCCTCCCTGCAGCAGCCTGATGTGAGCGGCGGTCAGCGTAGTCAGCGGCGTCTTCCTACTATCTCCCTGCCCTGCTGCTGACGGGTTGCCTGCTGACGTTCTCTCACCCGTGACCTCTCCCTACTACTGCTACTACTACTACTACTACTACTGCTACACATCTGACTGTTCCTGCTGGCAAAAAACACACCGGAGAAAGAGACATTGACGAAGCCATTGATGGAGAGACAGAGATAAAGGTCTCCTTGTTCCTTCTCCAGTGATGACGTCAGATGACCCTAAGTCCTCTAGAAATAAAAGGTCAAACAGGTACCTTTAAAATCAATGTTAAATAGAGAGATATTATATACGTGTGTGTGTGTGTGAGTGTGTGTGTGTGTGTGTGTGTGTTCTTCTCTCAATAATGATATTAAGTATATATATGTATACCCAGAAATACACGTCAATTGTACATTATTACTATTACTATTACTATTACTATTACTACTTCTATTACTACTACTTAACCCCCTCCTCCTCCTCATCTCTCCTCCAATCACCCTAACTACCACCTTCCTTCCCAACCCCCACCTCATCTCCTCTCCGTCTCCCCACTCCCTCCTCCCTCTCCCCCTCTCCCCGGCTCCCTCCCTCCTCCCTCCCTCCCCCCACTCCCTCCTGTCTCTCCCTCCCCATTTAAGATTATAAACGCTTGTGTGTAAACCTTTTGTCTTCATCACGGCTTTTCTTTTATCTCACTTCAACTTCTCTCATATCTCCTTTATCTTAATCTCTTTACCCCTATCTCTATCTCTCTCTCATCTCATCTCTCTCATCTCTCTCTCATCTCTCTCTCTCATCTCTCTCTCCTCTCTCTCTATTTCTCTCATCTCTCTCTCTCATCTCCCCATCTTAGTGTTGTTGGTCTCTACATTTCACTCTTATTATTAATCCTAATCTTCTTCCTCTATATTCCAATCATCTTTCTGTCTTTCCTAATCCTTTTCATTCCACTGTATGTCAACCCACCCACTACACTCCACACCTGACCCCACACCCACCACACACCCACCCACACACACTGCACACCCAGCAGCACACTCCACACACAGGAGACAGGAACAGTGGCCTATTATATCCAGCCAAGCCTTGAAGAAATCTATCCATCTAGACGCAGAGGATAGAGAAATAGATGGGTCTAGTCTTTGTGTGTGTGTGTGTTGTGTGTGTGTGTGTGTGTGTGTGTGTGTGTGTGTGTGTGTGTGTGTGTGTGTGTGTGTGTGTGTGTGTGTGTGTGTGTGTGTGTGTGTGTGTGTGTGTGTAGGAAGGCACTATGACATCTATCCTAAAGGAATTGATTAGGTTACACTCTCCTTCCTTATACCTAATACCTTACATCTTACCTATACCCACCTAATACTTACCTTTACCTATATCTACCTACCTACCTACATGATACCTTTCTTCCCTACCTACCTTATACCTAATACCTTACCTGTTACCTACCTTATACCCAATACCTTACCTGTTACCCACCTACCTTATACCTAATACTCCACCTGTTACTCCACCTCCCCACCCACCTAACACCCACTCTCCTATCTACTCCACACCATACCTCCCTACCCACCCAACACCTACACCTTATACCTAAACACCTTACCTCCCCACCCACCTAACACCCACTCTCCCATCTCCACCTACACCTATACCCCACCCACCCACCACACCTTACACATATACCCACACCTTACCTGTTACCCACCCACTGCCCACACTACACACCACCTCCCCTACACACCTTACACCTCCCTACCTACCTAACACCTTACCTACCCATACCTAATACCTTACCTCCCCTATCTCCCCTCATTCACCTTATACCTTATCTCTCACCTATCTCGTACAGGTTCAACATATCATGACTGGTTATTAGCAGAGGAAGCATAAAATGTTTATTGGTCTCACTAGAACTCCAAGATTGTAGCTGCTACTGTCAAGTTGTTTGTCTAGTAACATAAAGCGACCTAAACTATTATATATATATGTGTGTGTGTGTGTGTGTGTGTGTGTGTGTGTGTGGTGTGTGTGTGTATATAAATTATGTGTATATAGGATACATTAAATATTCTTGGATTCTCTGCCCGATATATGTGCAGTATTATTGTTGTGTGTGTGTGTGTGTGTGTGTGTGTGTGTGTGTGTGTGTGTGTGTGTGTGTGTGTGTGTGTGTGTGTGTGTGTGTGTGTGTGTGTGTGTGTGTGTGTGTGTGTGTGTGTGTGTGGGGTGAGTATGTGTGTGTCAGTGATTGTGATGGTAGTGGTGGTGGTGTGTAGCTATCATCACTTTATCACCACCACTATTACCACAACCACCACCCTATCATCATCATCATCATCTCCTTGGCCATAGTAGTGTGTGTGTGTGTGTATATGTACCACTACTACTACTAACTACTACTACTACTACTACTACTACCACTACCACTACTACTACTACTACCACTACTACTACTACTACTACCACTACTACTACCACATTATTTTGGTAACGTGGCCTATCCTCCCCAATAGCCACACCTTCGCCGCCATTTTAATTTACTACCACTACTACTACCACCACTACTACTACTACTACCACCACTACTACTATTACTACTACACGCTGCCACCTCGAGCAATATAAGGAGTTAGCATAGAAGAGAAATACTACTAATAATGATAAGTACTCGAGGCGCTGACCAGAAGGTAAATGGATTAATGTTTCTAATATTAAGAACTTTTATACATAATTGTCTTGTTTTAATAACCTAGGAATAAGAGAAGAAGGCACGTTAAATCACCACTATTCCAAACATCAGCTCAGGTCAGCGCCTCGAACACACCCACCTCCCTCCTTCCTTCCCTCTCCTCCCTCCTCCCTTCCTCCTTTCCTTCCTTCTCCTTCTATCGTGGCGTTCAATGTTCTTCCTGTTTTTTAAGCTCAAGAAATAAACATTAAGAAAAATATATATATATATAAATACATATAAATAATAAAACTCTGCATTCTTAAAAAATCAGTTGCTTGAAGTATCGGTCTCATGTGCACATATGACTGTATGAAGTAAACAGCTCACTGACTCTTTGAGAGAGACCATCTTGTGTGTGTGTGTGTGTGTGTGTGTGTGTGTGTGTGTGTGTGTGTGTGTATTGATAAAGCCCCAAGACTCACAGAGAGAAGTCCCTGTACATACGTGTGGATGATGGCTCTCTCTCTCTCATCATCACCCGCTACTGCCATCACTACTATCATCACCCGCTACTGTCATCACTTCAGTAGACCTTCCTCACACTTATAAGCCTCCTCGCCCTTCTAAGTGTCTATCTCTGCCTTGTGTCGAAGATGGTACTGTTTGATATAAGTAATTGTAGTAAGTCTGGCCAGCTGCCCTTCCCTCTCCTCTACTTGTATATATAAGTATGGTCAGACCTTCAAGCTAGGCCCCTCCTTCCCCTCCCTCTCTCCCTCCTTTCATCCCCCTCCTCCCTCTCTCCTTTCATCCCCCTCCTCCCTCTCCCTCCTTTCCCTCCTCTCTCCTCCTTTTCTTCCTCCCCTGTTAAGTAAGATGTGGTCTCTTTATGTTAGTCTTTATATAATTTTTATAAATATATATGTGTGAATACGAGTCAGAGACGATATGAGTCAGTGTGGATACGAGTCAGTGTGGATGTGAGTCAGCGAGGACGTGAGTCAGGTGGTGTACGAGTCAGTGTGGATGTGAGTCAGTCAGTTTTCTCCTCCACTTGACTCAGAATAAGTAATTAAAAAGTTCCCTGTTAGAACGTGAATTCATGTCAATTATCTAGTAGTCTCCCTCCCCGTCTCCTGGCACCTTAATCCCCGTTCTCTGTAATACTGTGTGACGTCACCAGCTTTCCCAGTTGGCTATTGGCTGTTTCAGGTCAGTAAAACAAGAAGCAGCCAATCACGTAATGTTTTCTCCTCCACTAAGTACATTGTCCTTCGGGTAAAACAACTCTCATGTCTTAATTTATTTTACCGCTGTTCATTATTATTTTTGTGTACCTATTGTTATTATTGTTATTATTATTATCATTATTATTATGTAAGGTTTTTGTAAATGTTGAAGTATCACATAATATTACAGAAGATATTTATAGAGACTTAAAATGTAAATATATATACGTGTTCATTAAGCAACCCTGAGAGAGTGTAATGATAAAGTGATATTTAGTCAGATTTGTGTAATTGTGGAGACAGGTCTATGTAATTAAGGAGCCAGATTTATGTAATTATGGAGCCAGATTTATGTAATTAATTGAACCAGGTTTATGTAATTCTTGAGTAGTATCGGAACGGCTTGATGACGTCACACATCACGTCTACCTCCCTCGCTTGAGTGTAACAACGACATAAGTCACATGGTAGTCAGAGGCGACGAAGAGAAAACATTTTTAAGGAGAGTCACCCTTCAGGACATCAACGTGGCTTAACGCTGTGTGTCCCCCAGGCGAGGAGTGATGTAGTATGGCCAGATGTACCATGTTGGAGAAGCACCACGAACAAGACCAACATAACCTAACCTAACCTAATCTAATGTAACCTAACCTACATTGATTCTAATTTAATCTACCAGTAATTTAAACTAACTTAACCTAGCCAAAACTAATCCATGAAATCATCAGGTCAGGTTATGAATGGTCTAGCGCCAAATCTCGTGGTTCGTGGTAGTGGTCCAACATGGTGGGTGTCGCCCAGTTAGTGATGACCACGAACACTGTTGTACACCTCCTCCCCCTCCCCAGGTGGTAAAAAATACAGGTATTTTGTTCAAGATAACACCTGACTTTCATTAACCTTCTGTACACACCTGTTCATTATACATACACCTGTGTTTGCTAATACAGGTGTTTCATAATGGTTTTACATCTGTATGTGTTGTGGTGTTACAGCTGCATTTCACCCTTAGTGGTGTTACAGCTGTACTTTCTCTGTACCTGTTGATGAGAGTTACAGCTGCACCTACAGACCCGATAACAGGTGTAATACTTGAGTGTGTGATGAGGTATTATGATGATAAGGTAAGTTACTACTACTACTACTACTACTAGTACTAATAATAATAATAGTACTACTACTACTAATAATAATAATAGTAACAGAAGAGTAAAAAGATGAAAAACGGAATGAATAATAATAAAGAAAAACTAAAAGATATAAAAAGGAAAAAGAATAAAAGATAAAAATGGAGAAATAAAGAAGAAGAAATAACAAGAGACAAAGAAGAGTTAAGTCTCCTGTGGTGAGTAAAACAATGAACTATAACAATATCAGAACAGGTATTACTCTACGTGCGAGTTAAAAACAACATCAACAACAACAACAACAATAACAGGAGGGTAATAGAAGAAGAAGAAGAAGAAGAAGAAGAAGGTAATAACAGAGGGAGGGAGACAGCAGAGGAAATGAACTGTGTTGTGAGCAAAGACAAATACTTGGACGTGTGACAGAAGGGCAAACACTTCCTCCTCCCCCTCCTGTCTTCCCCCTCCTCCTTTACCACCACCTCTTGTCTTCTACTTCCTCATCTATCTCCACTTCTTCCCTATTGTCTTATCTCTTCTTATCTTCCTCATCCCCCTCCTCTTTCCTGTCTTCCTCCTCCTCCTCCCTCTTGGCATCCTCCCTACTCACCACCCTTGTCTTCCTCCTGTCTCCCCCTCCCTCCCTTCCCTTCTGTCTTCCTCCTCCTCCTCCATCATGGCATCCCTCTTTACCACCACCTTGTCTTCCCTCCTGTCTTCCCCTCCTCCTTCCTGTCTTTCCTCCTCCCTCCTCTTCCTGTCTTCCTCCACCTACTGCTACTACCGTTCCTCTCACTTGTCCTCCTCCTCCTACCCGTGCTGTCAGGCCATCAGCTCACACCACCACAGACAACATGGCGCTCAAATGACCCTGAGACTACCGCACAAGACCAGTTCTCATCATGTAAAGAAAGAAAGCATCGTGTGAGGGTCGAGTCTTTAGGGTAATTCAAGTGTTCTTATGGCCGCCATCTGAGTGACACTTAAGGTAGGTTCTTACGTCTTTAGTTTATGGGCAGGTGAGAGGGAGGGAGGGAGGAGGGAGGAGGGAGGAGGGAGAGAGGGAGGGAGGGAGGAGGGGAGGAGGGAGGGAGGAGGAGGAGGAGAGGAGGAGAGGGGGAGGAGAGGAGGAGAGAGGGGAGAGAGGAGGAAGGAGGAGGAGGGAGAGAGGGAGAGAGAGGAGGAGGGAGAGAGAGGGAGAGAGAAGGAGGAGGAGGAGGGAGGGAGGATGTCAAGTCGGAAGGGCGTAAGGGAAGAAGGGCGTGGAAGGAAGGCAGGGCAGGAAGTGAGGAAGTCAGGAAAGATGGAAGGAAGAGAAGGAGAGAGAGATGAAGCGTGGTAGGGAGAGAGAGAAGGGGAGCTTGAACGGAGGAAAGAGGAAGGGAGGGAGGGAGGGAGGGAGAGAGGTGGGCGTGGAAGGGAAGGAGAGAGGGAAAAGGGAGGGAGAGAGAGAGAGGAAGGGAGGAGGAGAGAGGGGAGAGAGGGAGGGAGGGAATAGAGAGGAGGGAGGGAGGGGGTGTAGTCATCCTGAAATATACCCAGCAGGCGGGTATTGACACTAGGCGGGGTAACTGATCTACGTGCTACCTCTCGCCGCGACTTTTACCGCCGGGATGGTCCGTATCTGTCAGTGTCGGTGACTCTCAACCACCACCTGTACAACGCCCTGCCACCCTCCCCGCTGACGCTGCCCTCCCTTCCACTCCCCTCGCCGCCCTCCCGCTAACGCTGCCCTCCCCTGCTGACGCTGCCCTCCCTGCTGACGCTGCCCTCCCTGCTGACGCTGCCCTCCCTGCTGACGCCGCCCTCCCTGCTGACGCTGCCCTCCCCGCTGACGCTGCCCTCCCCTGCTGACGCCGCCCT